CGAAGTCGTGGTTCTCGCAACCAACAATCAAGCCACTGCGTGATGCAAAGCCTCGGCAGCACCACTCCTGGATCCGCTCCTGGCAACCGCAGCGCTAACAGATGTCAAGCAGCGCCCCCGCTTGTGTGACCCCGCTGCAGCTCCTAACCGTCGCCTGTGACTCAGCATCACTGACCCGAAGCAGCCCAAGACTTGGTGGCCATATGAGGCCGATGCCTGGGGGCCCGTCCTCTGGATCATGCTCGTAGTCGACCACCGTCTCGCAGCTGCTGCAAAACGTCGAAGCCGTTGGTGCGACGACCCTGACTTCTTCACGCGCTTGCGCGCTGTGTCCCTACCGTGGCGACGTCCTCCCGCGAGATCGATCCCAAGATACGCGGCCTGCTGCACTGGGGAAACCTCGATGCCGAGACGCCGCAACCTCCGAGCTACCTGCACCGCGTCCTGGTGGATGGAGCATACCACCACACTCTTGGCCAAGATGCCCAGCTTGAGCCTCCGAAACTCCTTCACCGTGGTAGCGACCGCCTTCACCAGAGTGCCACGAACATGTTCACGACTGCCCGACGCGCGCTCCAGTAAGTCGTCGACCCAAATCCTCTGAGACATTGACGGGTGAGCAATCGCCAACTTCTCACATACAACTGCTGTAATACATTTTGCGAATCGAGTGCCACTGCGCGAACCTTGAATGACCGACTTCGTGGCCTGGAATGGTAACGAGTACGAGTCCAGCTGAGACAATAACCTAGGCGCCATGAACAGCTGCACCTCCAAAAACAACACGACTGGAGGGTAGCCTTTCCTGATCGCACACTCCGCCAGGATGGGCCATTCGATGCCGTCGTAGAAGGCCTCCACGTCCAGCAGAGCCTGCCCGTGGGGCAGGTGCAGGGAGGTCTGAACCTCGTCCTCCAACGCCCTCACGAACGCCTCCCTCAGGGCGCTGTTCCCCGCGAGGGCGGCATCCCAATAGTCATCCTGCTGGTCGGCCCAGCCTCGCACCAGAGGCTCTCGTGCGAGCGACCATACTCTGCACAGCATGCCTAGCAGCCCGATGCATCGATCACCACCCGACTTTTTGCCGAGCAGACGCCCCAGTACGCACAGCACCTGCCACGGCCAGCTGAGGCTCTGCTCGATCATCGTGAACAGCTCCACGAGGTCACGGATGGCCTGGTCTGGCAAGCGACTGAAGTCCGAGGGAGACAGCCTGTCCACCCCTTGCCCCGCACGGGGCTTCATCTTGGCCAGGGCTCCCCTGACCTCCTCGATGGAGAGGGGTACCAGTTGCTCCACCTCAGCGTGCTCACGAATCATGTCACACGCCCGCATAATGTCGTCATGCTCTGACACCTTGGATGACCACAACTGATGCCATCGAGATATTTTGCAATCGACAATCTCCAGCGGGTGCACCAGCTTCCTATCCCCGATGTGATACTCGTCCACCTCTGGAGCCAGATCCTTGATGGATCTGTGAACTGCACCCAGACTGTCCACCGAGCCAATCCAACTCTGGAAGTCGCGGAGAGATGCCGAAGCTGCACGATTCTGCGCTCTCCTCGCCGATTTGAACGCCACCTCCTCCAGTAGAACGAGCTCGTCCGTGGTCTGAGCCTGCAAACTCCGAAGTGCTGCCAGGAATTGGGCCCAACTGAGCCCGAGCACTCCTGCAAAACATGAACCTGCACCGTCTAACGGCTGATCCGCTAAACCCAACGCTGCTTGGGCAAGGTGCCCCATCTGCAAGCTGCCGTTGTCACGCCGCCGATGCCGACGCGCCTGCTTGAGAATCGAATGCCCTCTGCTCCACCATGCTGCCACGCCATCGCGTAGCGGCTGCGACCTGACTCGCTCTGGCTCCCTGACTGGGCCGACGACCAACTGAACACCGCTTGCCCTCGACTGCATTGGTGCCGCCCCTCCGTGATGCGCCGCAATAGTGCCCTCGACCGTGGTCACCCATCGAGCGAAGCAACTGCTGATAGGCAGGATGAGGCGCTGCCCTGCCGAGAAAGCGAGGGATCGTCTGATGGGGTTCCAGACGTCCTCAAGGGAGTGTGAAAGCCACGGAGTTTGAGCCGCAACGGCTGTCCAGGTGGAAGGGGGGATGGCGAAAGAGGGAAGGGCGGCCGCAGCGGCATCGGCAGACGAGGGCGGATCAATCTGACCGTCAGCCGTGCTGACGCCCGAGCCCCCAGGACGCTCGACAGTGGGGACCGCAGAGACATCCCTCAAAACTTCGCCAATTACAGGGGACCTTTCGTGCTGCGCGGACTCGCCTGATTCACCAGCGGCTCCTAGATCACACGCATCCTGGTTGCAAGCTGGCCGAAAGCATGATTCTGACGCCCACGGGTCCTCCTCTTTATCCTCGAAGGCCCCGAAATCGACGAGGTCCCCGAAATCGTCCGAGCCGCTTCTGGGCTCAGCCACCTCCTGGGGGTTCGGGCCCTCGGGGGGATCGGGACCGTCCTGGGTGGGTTCGCCAGAGGGGCCAGCTTTTGAAACGAAAACATCTGAAAAAAGCTCGTCACAGTCGGCTCGTATCCTGTCTTGGGCAATCTGTGACCGAACCTGCTGCTCCGCACGCGCCTTGCTCGACTTCGACCCTGCCACGGGACTGATGCTCGGGCGCGGGACCTGCGGCAGGCGCGGGGCGGTGACGAGAGAACGCTGCTGTAATTGCTCACCAGAACCGTGAAGTGTGAGCTCCAAACCTACATGTGGCCCCCACGGGACATCGGATCTAGCTACAAGGGACTTAATATACGGCAACGCATTCTCAGACGACATCACAAAATCGATATGCGTACTACCTGCGCTCCCGACGCAAGTGTAGTCCACTTCCGACTGCCTGATGTGACCCCCTACGCGCCTAACAAAATTGGACTTGCGAAAGATGTCAACTCCGATGTTGAAATCTCCTATCACTATCCAAGGCAACTGTAGCACCTGAAGAAGAGCTCCCAATGTTCCGAAACGCTGCGTGTTGGCGCCCCCGAATCCCTGCGAGGGGTGCGCATAAAAAAAGAACCAAGACTAAAGAATAGCCTTGGCAGTGCACCACTGACGGCATAAAGCCGTCGAAAGCATCAGCTCCGTCGGCGCACAGTGACGTCACTTCGGACGCCTTGGCAAACAAACGATGCACATTGCGGTGGCCTGGCGCCCAGAGTGCCTCGCCCCGTTCGTTGGCTCTCTGGACTGCGGCCGCCCTGGTGCTTTCCTTGTGTTTCTGGCCATGTTGTCCAGGAACTTCCACTTGCAAAGCCGAGACTTCTTCGCCCACTGCGTACGAGTGTGGCACCCTGCGTGAGTCTCGACGGCCCCGATGAGATCGTACCTAGACATGGTGGCCTCCGAGCTGAGAAAAGGCCATGACTTCTTCCCGAGGCAGGTGATGTTGCCGAAGAACATCCTGACCTCTGGCGCCTCCTGCGCCTCCGATGCTGACAAAGGTGCTCCGCCCGCTGTCGCTGAACTCGACGGGGCACCTGACGACTCCGATGAGAAGGAAGAGCGAGGAGGAGCCGCCGCTAAAACTGCCTCCTGCCCAAGCGACTCCGAAGAAGGTGGAGGCTGCGCCGCCGCGAAAACGCCGCCTCCACTATGTGCTCGTCACTGACTAACTTTGCTAGCGGCCTCAGCCGCCTCCTGCCCAGCTGCCGCTGCGGCCCTGATCTTGGCCATCTCCGCCTCGATCTCGGCCTCCGACGGGCTGCCTGGCGACGCTGCGACCCCCGTGGCGCCAGGGCCGTCGCGCGCGCCTGCCGCTGCTGCGCCCGCTGTCGCGGCCGCTCCGCCAGCCGAGGGAGCGGCTGTGGCGGCCGCTCCGCCACCTGCAGGAGGACTGCTCCCAGGTGGCCCTGCGGGCGCAGCCTCGGCCCCACCAGCAGCCCCGCAGCGCCTCCTCTTCTTGATGCGCTCCTCGACCTGCTTCTTCAAGGACTCGACGTTGTCGCGCCACTTGGTGATCTCCTCGGCCTTGCTGAGCACCGACTGCTGCACCGCCTTCAGCTCCGCCTCGACTTTGCGGAGCTCCTCCTTCTCCTCCGCGCTGCACTCGAGCTCGTCCAGCTGCTGGAAGAACTCGGTGTCCCACGTGAGATTGAAGATCGGCTCGGCCGTCTTGGCGGCGGGCGGCTCCACGACCGCACCTGTCTCCTTCGCCAGGGCCTGCGCAGCGCCTCGGCGGTTGATCTCCGCCAGGGCGAGCACGCGCGCCGCCTCCGACTCCTTCTCCCTGGCGACGCTCAGGTTCTGCTCCAGCCGCTTCACCTGCTGCGCCGCCTGCTGGTATTTTGCGCTGGCGTCGCGCCAAGCCCCAGCTGCGCGGCGGACGGCCTCCTCGGCCCCCAACGGCTGGCCTGCCGCCGCTGCTGCCTGCTGGGACTGCTTCAGCTGCTCCTCTAGGATCTGCCGCACCTTGGGATCCTTGACGACTGCCAGGGCACCCGACAGCGCGACGACCGTCTGCTGCGTGGCGGCCTCGACGCCGATGCTCCCCTTGGGCGCCGGCTTGGACTCCCGCTCGAGCTGCGTGTCCTTGCCGTTGCCCCTGTCCTTGCCCTTGCTCTTCTCTCCCTTGGGGACGTAGAGCTTCACGGGCCTGTTGCAGACGCGGCACTTGAGTCCATTGGCCGCGAGCTTGGTATTGAACTCATGCGTGCCGCAGCCTGCACACGTACTCCAAGGGTTCGCCATGGCCCTGGGATCTCGTGTGCTGTGCGATGTGTCCCCTACTTTCGTCGACGGGATCTGCTGCGCTCTGGCGCGCGGACGACCCGCCGTCCCCCAAGCACCTCGTGGCGGCGTGGGGCTGGCCGAGTGCGAAGCCAAAATGGTGCGCTCGTGCCAGAATGCTTGAGGGATAGATGAGGGAGGAGGGATGGAGTAGGAGGGAGGGGGAGAAAAGGGATATAGCAGGAGTGAGGGAAGAAGGGAGGGAAGAAAATAAGAAAGGTAGGAACCCTCGCCCCGACCCGGCCCTCGGCCGGTCCTCGGCTCCGCCATGTCCAGCACGTCCTTCACGCTGAGGGGCCTCCCCATTCCCGCGGGGAGGGGGGGGGGGCAGGGCTCGGCGCAGGGGTGGGGTGGAGGGGGGATCTGGAGGGGGGAGGGGAAGAGATCCTGCATACTCCACCCTCCAGTTCATCCACCCTCCACGTAACCTCCTCCTCCTCCTGCGCAGGACACTCAGCACAACTGGATCCAACACACTGTACTAATGAACAAATCCAAACAACTTGATGTTTCGAGAAACGGACGGTCTCACGCAGGTAGTATACTTCACGCCTCCCGACCTGCTTGCACTCTCCCTTGTGAAGCCAGCTCCAGATCTTGACAACCAACGCCGCACACTGAGACTTACGAGGCTGTGCGGGAGACGCGATTCGATCGGGACAAGGGCCCCGTCGACTGCTCGTGTTTGTTATTTCTTTGCTTCGTTGTTTGCTTTGTGTGGGTAAGCCTGCTAGCAAGCGTCAACCCAACACAGTGAATTGTTGCACCGTGCGTGTGAACGCTGTGTGATGTGATGTCAGTATATGCTGATGTCAGCATATGGTGATGCCAGCATGTGTGCTTGATGCACTGCTGTACTGAGTAAGCTATGTGATGCCAGTATATGGGGTGAGCTATGCTGTGCACGCTGCGTGGTGTAAGCTATGTGTGGCGTGAGCTGTGCGGTGCAATCTGTGCGGTGTGACCTGTGCGGTGGGCGCCACGTGTTTTGCACGCTGTGCGGTGCAAGTCAGACGCTGTGAGCTGTGCGGGCTCCGTCCACCACCCAGGGCGCGGGGCGCCCACGAGGCGCCCACGGGCGGGCTCCGGGCGAAACCTCGGCGGACCCACCCACGGCACGGGGCGCCCACGGGGCGGGGCACCGGGCGCCACCTCGGCGGAGGCGCCCGAGGCACGGGGCGCCAAGCGAGCAGCCCGCGGGGCGGGGACGTGGAACAGCCCTGGGCGGACCCGTCCAACTACAGTTGGGGCGTTGACCTAAGGAACCCTAAATAAGGAACGAGACTCCTTTTTCCATAAGTTAAACTTCGATTTACCATTGATAACCTAAGGAAAACCCTAGGCAAACTGTAAAACAATCAAGGAACACCGAGCCCCTCTCCAACGAACAGGGTTCCTTCAGCGCCCCGACTGTACGCCTACGTTCGCAAGGCGAGGGCCCCTGCGTGCGAGCTCTGCTCGGGGAAGATGGAAGGCATCCTCGCTCTGATGGTGGTGGTGGTGGTGATGGTGACGGCGCAGGAGCAACCGGCAACGCGCAGCAAGAGGACGAGGAGCGGAAGCCGCACCTCCATCGGCGCCCCGACACGCTCCACCGCCCCGCCCGGCTGCCTGGGCGCCATGGCCGCGAAGGCGGCGATCTCCAGATCGTAGGGGCCCTGCCGGGCGGAAATGGAGGGCGGTGCCCGCACTACAATTGCGGGTCAGAGGCGGGGCGGTTGGGTCTTGCGTCGGCACTGCAACTCCGACGGGGACCTCCAACCTGCCGTCCTTCCTCCAGGCTCTTGTCTTGGAGCCTACCGCACTCTGTAGAACATGAATACTGGCTGCCAGATGCGAGACCCCACTGGAGAGGAAGGGATGGAAAGGAGGAGCGGGCCATTGGCCGCGAGCACAGTGATAGTGCCCTTCAATGGCACCCGAGCAGCCAAACGAAAGGAACCTCACGTGCGACCACGCAAAGACAACGAACAGTCAAAAACCGTGACCCTCGACCCTGGCGACCCTCGGTGCTCGACGCTAGAGTATGGAACACAAAATAAGCAACATTTTTGAGGTTCGCGGGGACTTCTTGGGTCGACGCTTGACCCCCACGAACATGTGTTTGTGCGCCGCTGTCGGAGGAAAGGGACAGCTATAAGTTTCTGGCACGTCATTGTAAGAACGATTCGGATGTGTTCCACGGGGCATTGGACAGTCCACTGGGTGCACCCATCCTCTTCCTCCTCCCGCTCCCCGTCCTGCTGCTCCTCTTGCTTCTCATGCTGCTGCTGCTGCTGCTGCTGCTGCTGCTGCTCCTCCTCCTCCTCCTCCTCCTCCTCCTCCTCCTCCTCCTCCTCCTCCTCCTCCCCCTTCTTCCCTCCTCCTCACTCCTGAAGGAGAATCGCGCGTTGGACCTCTCGAGGGGTGCGCTTGGACACCAGGGTCGTATGCGGAAAGGCGGAGAAGCCACCTCGTATTCGAATGGCTTCGAGAAGCCCCAAGACAAACACGTTGTGCGAAAGGCAGCCCACCCTCGAGGCACCAGCCGCGTAGGGACACGACCCCGAAAAACCGACACGGGCCGCGAGGGACGCCAACGAAAAACGGTCAGGAAAGGGCCAAAGAGCGAAGCCAGAGGGCGGGCAGGGACTAAAGTGGAAAACTTCAAAACTTGGGAAGAGGGTGATCGTCAGAAGCAGGCTCAACCGTCATACAATCACCAACCCTCCCCCCTCCCTCTATGCGGGGCGCGCCTGGGTCGGTCTCGTGCGGGCGGCGGCATGTGCGCCGTCGCCATCGGCGCCTGCCCCAAGGCTGCTTCGAGGGGCACGATGCCCCGTTCAACTAAATGAGCAGCCTCTGGCTAAAAGTTGCAATCTGCACTGCCCGAATATGTGAGAACCTGGATCTGCCCGCGCCTGCGCCTTAGCCTTCGGCCCCGCCTTCCCCTCTCTAAGAGGGCCGTCCCTCGCGCACCTCGAGACGCCCCTGCGCCGCCCGGCCCCGCGGGCCCCTCGGCGGAGGGCCGCGCTTGATCGCTGCCTTGCCGGCCTCGAAGATCGGGAGCGGCCCAGAGGGGGGTGTCCAAGAGGGGGGGGTGCAAATCATGACCGGCGGCACGTGCGCGGCCCAGCGGGGGGGCCAGGGACGTATTGAATCAAGAAGAGGCGCCGTGAACTCTGGGGAGATACCATGGCCCCCGCCATGATCTCCCCCCCCCCCTAGTCATTACCCCCCTCATTTCCGCCCCCGAGAAGACACGGTTGCGCACCCTTCCTGGATCTCCGGGCGCGCGCGACGCGTGGCCAGCGAGATGTTGGCGGCGCCCTCCTTGCCCTGATTCCGCTTGTTTTGTCACTTTGCCTTCGCCAGTCGTGCACCTGTCCGAGGAGACCCTTCGCCATGCAGTCCTCGCCGCTTCTCGCGCCCGCGTGCAACCCTCTCAACAACTGCGCCCCCCGCGGATGGGGGATCGTCGCATTCTCCCAGTCCTCGAAGCACGCCAGCGAACGCGTGCGCGAACGGCGCGTCTAGCTCCCCATGCTTCTGCGCATCGCCCTTGGCGGCCCTGGCGGACTCGCGGCGGCCCCGACCCCGCTGCTGCATGGCCTGGACGACTGGAGGGGCGGCGCAGATGAGGAGAGACGCCCGCAGCAGACCAGTGATCTCGTGGATCTAGGCCGCGCTCGCGGGCGACTACTTGGCGAGCGCGACGATCGGCTCGGTGACGGCGTTGACCTTCTTCGCGTCGGCGCCGAGGAGATCGGCGATCGGCCGGCGCGTCTTCGTCCGCGGTTCGCCTTCTGCCGCGCGCTGAAGCCCCCGCGGCGGCGCTCCCAAGTTGCGCGCCATGGCGCGAGGCCCGGCGAATTCTTGCAGCGCCAGTGGAGAAAAAGTCGAGTGATCTGAAAAAGGTGCTGCTCAGACTCTTGGGCGCCCCCAGACTCTGGGGGTTTGGGGTTGCTCCGACTTTGTCTCTCGCTGTCCGACTGTGTCTCCTCGCTCCTACCCCCTGCCTCCTTCTCCTGGTCCTCCTCCCTATTTCTCTTCCTACTCCCTCTTCGCCTGCTTTTCCAGGTCCTTTTCTTCCTCTTCCTCCTGTTCCTCCTCCTCCTCCTCCTCCTCCTCAACCTCCTCCTCCTCCTCCTCCTCCTGCTCCTCCTCCTCCTCCTCCTCCCCCTCCCCCTCCTTTTCCTCTTCTCTCTTCCTCCTCCTCCTCCTCCTCCCCCTCCTCCTCCCCAAGAGGCCTCTAAGACGCCCAAGATGGCCTCCAAGACGGCCCTGAAGCGCCTCAAGAGGACCCCACATCGGTTCAAAGAGGCCCCCAAGATGGCTTCCGACGGCGTCAGACCCGTCAGACGGGCCAGGAACGCTTCAAGACGGCCAAGGAGAGGCCCCCAAGACGCCCCCACGGCCCCCAAGAGGCCTAAGGAGGCCCCCAAGAGGCTTCCAAGAGGCCCCCGGGAAGCCTCCAGGAGGCCCCACAAGAGTGCCCAAAGAGGCTCCCAAGAGGCCTCCTCCTCCCCTCCTCCTCCTCTTCCTCCTCCCTCTCCTGATCCTCCCCCTCAGCCTCCCCCAAGTGTTCCCCGAAGAGTTTCCGGAGCGGCTGGGGGAATACATAATCAGATAGCTTGGCCAAGCTGGGGCCCAACGTTTGGCCACATAGGCGCTTCTCAAAAAGGCTGGGGGCGGCGGTGATTCGCCGTAGGCGTCTTGGATCCGCCGCCCCCTGTGCTTGCCACAGGGGTGGACGGCGTGCCAGACATTTTGCTGCTCTTCTTATTTTCAAACCCTTCCCAGTGGCCTTCGGCCCAGACCGCCTGCCCTCGGAAGGACCAGAAGGTGTGGCCACATCGCCACCAAGACGGCCCAAATGGCCCAAGATGGCCACCAAGATGCCTCCAAGGCGGCTAGGATCGCTCCAAGAGAGCCCAAGACGGCCCCAATATGTTTTCAAGACAGCCCAAGATGCAACCGAGGCGTTCCAAGATGGCCCCAAGATGGCCCAGGACGTCCCCAAAGGCCCCCAAGTTGCTTTTAATGCAGTCCAAGAAGCCTCCAAGGGGACCTGCAGGAAGGCCCGAAGAGGCCAAGACAGCTGATTTCCCGTGGGCTCTTGATGGATTTTAACGTTTTCGGCCTGCCGACGGCCCAGTGCCGCCGAAGAGACCCCCAAGATGGCCCCAAGAGCGCCCAAGAGGCCTCCAAGACGGCCCCACGACGGCCTCCAGACGGTCCAAAAGGCCCCCAAGGCGCCTCCAAGACGGCCCACGAGAACTCCAAGGCGCCCACTCGTCATCGTGGTTGTCGCCGTCATCGTCGTCGTCGTCATCGTCGTCGTCGTCGTCGTGGTCGTCAAACCTCTTCCAGTTTCCTAATCAAACCCCTCTCCCTCTCCCTCTCCCTTCCCCCTCCACCAACCCCCCCACCCCCCCTCCACCCCCCCCTCCACCACCCACCTCAGCCCCCCCTCCACCTCCCCCTCCACTCCCCGTCCAACTCCCCCTCCACCCCTTCGGATGTCCCTTGGAACCTTTTTGGGAGCACCCAGGGGGCTCCAGAGGGCCCCAAGAGGGCTCCAAGACGCGCCCCAGAGACCACTGAGAGGTCTCATCCAGACGCGCTGATCGATGACACCTACTAGCGGTTTCTGAGGCCTCTCTTGGGCCCCTCTTGGGCCCGTTTGGGGGCCCTCTTAGGGCCTTCTTGGAGCCATCATGTGGGCCAACAAGGGGCCCAAGAGGGCTCCAAGAGGGCCCCAAGAGGGTTCAGGAGTTATGTACCAGCGGCCGCTGGGTTGGTACATAATTCCTGGGGCCCTCTTGGAGCCCTCTTGGGGCCCTCTTGGGGCCCTCTTAGGGCCAACCCGGGCCCCAAGAGGGCTCCAAGAGGGCCCTCAGAGGGCCCCAAGAGGGCCCCAAGAGTGATGTACCAGCGGCCGCTGGGTTGGTACATAATTCCTGGGGCCTTCTTGGGGCCCTCTTAGGGCCAACCAGGGGCCCAAGAGGGTTCCAAGAGGGCCCTCAGAGGGCCCCAAGAGGGCCCCAGGAATTATGTACCAGCGGCCGCTGGATTGGTACATAATTCCTGGGGCCTTCTTGGGGCCCTCCTAGGGCCAACCAGGGGCCCAAGAGGGCTCCAAGAGGGCACTCAGAGGGCCCCAACAGGGCCCTAGGAGTTATGTACCAGCCCAGTCTTAGGGACCCCTTGGAGCCATCTTATGGGCCGATGTCCCACGGGGACCACCGGGTAACTCCGATGTCCCACGGGGGATACCGGGTAACTCCGATGTCCCACGGGCCGATGTCCCACGGGGACCACCGGGTAATTCCGACGTCCCACGGGGGACACCGGGTAACTCCGATGTCCCACGGGCCGATGTCCCACGGGGACCACCGGGTAACTCCGATGTCCCACGGGGACACCGGGTAACTCCGATGTCCCACGGGGGGGCACCAGGTAAATCGTGCCCAGACCCCCCCTTGCAAGGTCGAGTTACCCGATGTCCCCCGGGGGACACCGGGTAACTCCGATGTCCCACGGGCCGATGTCCCACGGGGACCACCGGGTAACTCCGATGTCCCACGGGGGACACCGGGTAACTCCGATGTCCCACGGGCCGATGTCCCACGGGGACCACCGGGTAACTCCGATGTCCCACGGGGGACACCGGGTAACTCCGATGTCCCGCGGGCTGATGTCCCACGGGGACCACCGGGTAACTCCGATGTCCCACGGGGGACACCGGGTAACTCCGATGTCCCACGGGAGGCCACCCGGTAACCATGCCCAGACCCCCCTTGCAATGTCGAGTTACCCGATGTCCCCCGGGGGACACTGGGTACCTCCGATGTCCCACGGGCCGATGTCCCACGGGGACCACCGGGGAACTCCGATGTCCCATGGGGGTCCACTGGTTTACTGAATAATGCCGAATGCGCCCCTTGCAAGGTCGACTTACTCGACGCCCCTCGGGGGACACCGGGTAAGTCGGGTGTGTGGAGCGCACCCCCCGCTTACCCGATGTCCCCCAAGGGACACCGGGTAACTCATGCCCGACTCCCCCCCGTGCAAAGTCGAGTTACCCGATGCCCCCCCCTCGCCACCGGGTAACCCGTGCCTAACACCCCCCCCTGCAAGGTCGAGTTACCCGATGTCCCCTGGGGGACACCGGGTAAGTGGGGGGTGTGGAGCGCACCCCCCAGTTACCCGATGCTCCCAAGGGGGGGCGCCAAATAACTTATGCCCGTCGTCGTCGTCGTCGTCGTCGTCGTTGTCGCCGGTCGTCGGTCGCGGGCCGGAAAAATTTGAGGCTTCGGATCCGTTTCGGGGCCCCCCTGGGCCCCGAGGGCTCCAAACCCCTGGGGAAAAGCAGCAGCAAAACTTACCACTCCAGTTCGAGGCGTCGTCGTCGTCGTCGTCGCGTCGTCTGCGGGTCGAGAGCTCCAGGATGGGGCCGAAAGCTCCGGGTTGGGGTCGGGAGCTCCTGGACGGGGTCGAGAGCTCTGGGGTCGAAACAGGGGCCAGGAAATTTGGTCCAAGTATCGCTGCCTGGTCCTGCAGGGGCTGGGTAAGGGTGCGTTTACACCTCCTCGTCGTCGTCGTCGCCGAGGAGGAGGAGGAGGGCCCCAGGAGTTCTGTACCACCGGCCGCTGGGTTGGTACATAATTCCTGGGGCCTTCTTGGAGCCCTCTTGGCGCCCTCTTGGCGCCCTCTTGGGGCCCTCTTGGGGCCCTCTTGGGGCCCTCTTGGGGCCTCCTTGGGGCCCTACAGGGCCAACCAGGGGTCCGAGAGGGCTCCGAGAGGGCCCTCAGAGTGTCCCAAGAGGGTTCAGGAGTTCTGTACCAGCGGCCGCTGGATTGGTACATAATTCCTGGGGCCTTCTTGGGGCCCTCTTGGCGCCCTCTTGGGGCCCTCTTGGGGCTCTTTTGGGGCCCTCTTGGGGCCCTCTTAGGGCCCCACGAGGGCCCCAGGAGTTATGTACCAGCGGCCGCTGGGTTGTTGCACAACTCCTGGGGCCCTCTTGGGGCCCTCTCGGAGCCCTCTTGGGGCTCTCTTGGGGCCCTCTTAGGGCCCTCTCGGGGCCATCTTATGGACGGCGACGACAACGACAACGACGACGACGATGACGACGACGACGACGACGACGACAACGACGACGACGACGACCACGACGATGGCGGAGCCGCTTCTGGCCTATCATTCCGTCCTTGACTCCTTGCTCAAACTCCTCGTCCTCCTGCTGCTCCTGCTCCTCTGGTTCCTGTTGATCACCTCCTCGTCCTCCTGCCCCTCCTCCTCCTCGACCCAAAAGCTGGCCGTGGGGCTTTGAGATGGCGGCCCCACAAAACATCACCGGGCCTCGGGGTGATATGTTTTTCCTGGGGGGGGCAAGGGCGTCCGCAGACGAGCCCGCGCTGAGCTGCAGGCTTCTCGGAGCCGCTTCGGGCCTCTGATTCCGTCCTTTCCTCTTGCTCTTCCTCTTGGACTGTTTCCTCGCCCTTTGGGGCCCTTTTGGGGCCATCTTGAAGTCAGCTTGGGCCGTCTTGGGACCATCTTGTGGACATCTTGGGCCGTCGGACAGCCGAAAAAGAAAACGCGCCCAA